CAATCAGGCCTGAACTAAATGATATTGGTTACAAAATATGGTACAAAACTTGGCACCATAAAATGATTTCAAGGGGAAATTTGAAATAAGTAGCCAAGCTTTTCCTCTATGAAAACCGTATTGGCTCACTCAAAGTTGGCTTGTTTTATACGAACTGGGCATCATGAAAACGCTCACTCTGGCCATTTGGTATTGATAATAAAAAACAAAAAAAACAAAGGCATCTTAACATTCATACTTCTCCCCAGGAGATTCTGAAAAAAATAACCAAGTTACCAAATTTGGTTTGTTTTCTACTAACTGGACATCCCTCTTTATGAAAATGTTAAATTTGTCATGAAGCAAATGATATTGATTGCAAAAAAATGGCACCAAACCTAACAACCTAACATTCACGCATTTCAATGGGAAATTCTGATTAAGTAAAGATTTTCCTCTATCAAAACTATCTTGGCTGACCCCAGTTTGGTTTGTTTTCGTTTCTACTAATTGGGCATCTCTCTTCATGAAAAATTGGCCTGAGCCAAATTATATTGAATGCATGTCCTGGGTGGATGTATTAACTGCTGCCTCTGTCAAACATATAGTAGTTCTACTACTATAACCACCACCTTCAAAATCTAATTCCTACTCGTGTTCCATGCCTGTTATACTTTCTTTAAATGCTTTTTCAGTGGATTGTGATAGGGTTACATCTTCAGGTAATAGTGGTGACACACTGGTGTTGGTGACTGAATCTCCTTTACATCTCTCATACTGGTATTTGCTGCTTCTACCTTTCTACACTGAATATGCCTAGTACTACTACTAGTAGTACTCATGTGTAATGTAGGGCTGCTCTTTAGGGGCCCTGAACGTTCTGGCTACACTGCTCCTAGTACTTGTGAGGGATGTTACTGTTTCTTCTATAAACAATCAATGTCTATATTTTGTATGATCAGACTTTTTCTTCTTTTACTGTTTATTAGTAATAGAACGCACTGACACGCTACTTTCCTCCTGTCTTTGACATTTAGAATACACTGCAGACATTCTCTTAGATGGTTAGATGGTGGGGCAGGCAGACATTTCATGTTGTCATTGCGGAGTAAGCTGATCAATAGTGATGTTACTGCTTACAGCTGAAAAGACTGCTGAGGTGGATGCCATTGGCTTTGGCTCGTCGTTATCTTCTTTTGAGGAACCAGTCTCCTTTACAGCCTTCTTCTTGAAAAACATACTTGGTTTCAATTTTTTGGTACTCCTGCTAATTGCTTTATTAACCCCTTAAGGGATGAGTCAAATGTACACGGTGTGATCAAAACGTAAACAAAATCTGGAATTTGACTATATGTCTGTTCAACCATAATTCCTCTTTCATATTAAGGGCACCCACACTTATTATATATCATTTTATTCAAGGGAAACAGGGCCTCCATTTAACATCAAATGCTCAGGTATGAAACATAATTTAATTTGAATAAAATATTTAAAAATGGGAGAAAATAAGATTTTTACACATTTTTTTTTAGTTGTACATGACATTTTAACTGTAAATGTCATAATACTGTTTGCTTTTACTGCAATAAAATACACATATTTGTATTCAGCGATGTCTCACAGTATCCCAGTATGTACAGGTTTTATTGTGTTTTCAGAAG